GGCACATAGAGGGTGACCCCCCGACTAGTGGCACATAGAGGGTGAGCCCCCTGACTAGTGGCACATAGAGGGTGAGCCCCCGACTAGTGGCACATAGAGGGTGAGCCCCCTGACTAGTGGCACATAGAGGGTGACCCCCCTGACTAGTGGCACATAGAGGGTGACCCCCCTGACTAGTGGCACATAGAGGGGTGACCCCCCGACTAGTGGCACATAGAGGGTGACCCCCCTGACTAGTGGCACATAGAGGGTGACCCCCCTGACTAGTGGCACATAGAGGGTGACCCCCTGACTAGTGGCACATAGAGGGTGACCCCCTGACTAGTGGCACATAGAGGGTGACCCCCCTGACTAGTGGCACATAGAGGGTGACCCCCCTGACTAGTGGCACATAGAGGGTGACCCCCCGACTAGTGGCACATAGAGGGTGACCCCCCTGACTAGTGGCACATAGAGGGTGACCCCCCTGACTAGTGGCACATAGAGGGTGACCCCCCTGACTAGTGGCACATAGAGGGTGACCCCCCCTGACTAGTGGCACATAGAGGGTGACCCCCCCTGACTAGTGGCACATAGAGGGTGACCCCCCTGACTAGTGGCACATAGAGGGTGACCCCCCTGACTAGTGGCACATAGAGGGTGACCCCCCTGACTAGTGGCACATAGAGGGTGACCCCCCTGACTAGTGGCACATAGAGGGTGACCCCCCTGACTAGTGGCACATAGAGGGTGACCCCCTGGCACATAGGGCCCCCTGACTAGTGGCACATAGAGGGGTGACCCCCCCTGACTAGTGGCACATAGAGGGTGACCCCCTGACTAGTGGCACATAGAGGGTGACCCCCCGACTAGTGGCACATAGAGGGTGACCCCCCTGACTAGTGGCACATAGAGGGTGACCCCCCTGACTAGTGGCACATAGGAGGGTGACCCCCCCTGACTAGTGGCACATAGAGGGTGACCCCCCTGACTAGTGGCACATAGAGGGTGACCCCCTGACTAGTGGCACATAGAGGGTAACCCCCCCTGACTAGTGGCACATAGAGGGTGACCCCCCTGACTAGTGGCACATAGAGGGTGACCCCCCTGACTAGTGGCACATAGAGGGTGACCCCCCGACTAGTGGCACATAGAGGGTGACCCCCCTGACTAGTGGCACATAGAGGGTGACCCCCCTGACTAGTGGCACATAGAGGGTGACCCCCCTGACTAGTGGCACATAGAGGGTGACCCCCCTGACTAGTGGAACATAGAGGGTGACCCCCCCCTGTGGGTGACATAAAGGGATTACACTACCCCCGTCTGAGCCCAGGCCAATGACGCTTGACAGTTTCACATCCCTCTCGCTGAGCACCTCATCCACCTTGTCAAATATACACTGTGCCGTCCCAGAGTGCACGTCATAGTTTCCCAAAAAACACGTCTCCACTTTTCCTTTAATTTGCAACTTGGCGTATATTATCAGCTTTTTGTCCACAGTGACATTAACTGCCTCGTCAATGATTATTCCGATAAAGTCACTCTTCTTATTTTTCCGTCCAGCTGCTTAATCAGGACTTCCTCTATGGCCTTTTCCATGTCATCAACAGAATCACTGTGCCGGTCAATTCCAACAACTGTGACAAAATCAGGACTGGAGCCTTCACTTCTCTTAGTAGGTCAGTCAACCAGACTGACCTACTAAGAGAAGTGAAGACATTGCAGGTAATCATACCTGCAATGTCATTTTTAGCCATGTGAAACACTACTTGTAGCTGAGAACATAGCTTCATGTTGGAAGCTTCATTCGCCCTCTCACAGTGGCCTTTCATTGCGGTTTCTTGTGGTATTGTGTTAACTGACAAAATGTGCTCATTGCTCTGATTGTGCTCAATAAGCGCAGAGGCTCTCATATTTGTTGCTCCTTTGGTGAACCCGACTTCTCGCAGTGTGAGCAGAAGATAATTTATTCCCCATCTATAATGTTGCTCCTCAGCCAGGTGAATGTATCCTTCCATTCGGGTCTGAACGCGCGAGATTTTTGTGCGGTCTCATTGACTGCAGGCGGTATTGCCGTCTCATTGTCGGTATTGTCATCATTAGACCTGCTTGGTTTAAAACATATTTTTTAAATAAAATAAAATAAAGGGTGACCCCCTGACTAGTGGCACATAAAGGGTGACCCCCCTGACTAGTGGCACATAGAGGGTGACCCCCCCTGACTAGTGGCACATAAAGGGTGACCCCCCCGACTAGTGCCACATAAAGGGTGACGTCTGTAGTTGTGAGTTAAATTTCTCAAAAGATTTCTGAAATATTTTGCCCAAAGAATGAGATGCAATAACTCTCCCATCATGATGTCAAAATGTCATTTTTTTATATAATAATATTTTATTAATATTAACCTTAAATGTACTCGTGTTTAGCACTAACTACCATATGTAAGATTTCTAATAATACAAAACTGTATTATGTGTTGTGTCCCGTCAAAAATGTTGAGTCTAGTCATGTTTCATGTTTTTGTTTAGTCATTTTTTTGTCATGTCTCCCACTGGGCGACTGTGGCTGCAAGGGAGTGCGGTCGTCTTTCAACCAGAAGGTTGTGGGTTCGATCCCAGCCCATGTAGTCAACATGTCGATGTATCCTTGGGCAAGATACTTAACCCTGAGTTGCTCCCGATGGCATGGCCAACGGTGTGTGAATGTTAGGTCCTAGAGTAAGATACACTGCTCTGTATGAATGGGTGTGAATGGGTGAATGACATGTAGTATGTAAAGTGCTTAAAGACTGGATAAAGCGCTA